ACCTTGTGTCTGACACATTCATATGCAAATGACTAATCTGTGAAACAAACGGGGGCGGAGACAAACCACTCAAATGTTTGGAAACACTCATTGTGTGTCAGATAGCTACTGATAACACATCCTAACATTGCTTTGTCTTGAGTTTATCTTTGAAACTTATAGGCACACAGATTAAACCTGTGTTGTTGATTTTGGAAAACACTACTAAGGCTGCCTTGCTTCCCTTCAGAATAACTACATTTTAACCAACATACATGACATTCTATGTTATATTGACTTCATCATATGAAAGTTTATGGTGCATTTCATCAATTAATAAATATATGTGAAAATCGTAATTTTCAACACAAATAATAGTCTCGCTACCTTAACAGTTAAAAAATAGCTTATTAAAAAAAAAAAATTTTCAACCCCCACCTCTTGATTTTAAATAGGTCTCCCCTCATAGTGACTTGTAAGCTGTTGGTCATATTGCTTTCTTGGCATGGATTACTTGGATATCATCTGTTTATTACTTTGTAATTTGCTCAATACTGTAAAATATATGATTTTTGTTGGAATAAATTTTTTATGAAAATATTTTTTGGCTGTTTTGTATTTATTTTCACTGATTTTTGGTGAGTAGAATGTAAAGCATAGAAAAAAAAGTATTTTCACATTATTTTTATTTGAAAATAAGTACTTTACAGTGACACTTCAAACACAAAAGTCACCTTTGACAAAAATGAAACAAAATAATTATTTTTATACTTTTCAAACAAGAAAATGAACAAGAATTGTAGCAAATTACGTCTATTTTGTCTAAAATTAACAAAAAAGATTATGGAAACTTGTAAAAAAATGACGCACCAAATCTTGGTGGGAAAGATTATGGTTATTATATTAGTGTTACCTTTACAGACAACAGTTCCTGAAGGCTGCTGATACGTATGGACAATTAAAAATTGAACATCTCGAACAAGAAATTGCATTGACGATACCCGAAGAAGACCTTGATTTTGATTATGTTAAGACGGTAAATACTGTTGATACAGTAAATAAAGTGTCCAATGTAAGAATGATAAAATACTAGTGTCCAATGTGAAAATAATATCTAAACTAGGGTGCCAAGTGTGAGAATGATAAGTAAACCAGAGTGTCCAGTGTGAGAATGATAACTTGCCTAAAGTGTCCAATATGGGAATAATAACTAACCTAGAGTGTCTAGTGTGAGAATGAAAGTAAACTAAGGAGTCCAGTGTCAGAATGATAAGTAACCTAGAATGCCCAGTGTAAGAATGATAAGTAACCTAGAGTGCCCAGTGTGAGAATAATAAGTAACCTAGAATGCCTAATGTGAGAATAATAAGTAACCTAGAGTGCCCAGTGTGAGAATAATAATCAACCTAGAATGCCCAATGTGAGAATAATAAGTAACCTAGAATGCCTAGTGTGAGAATAATAAGTAACCTAGAGTGCCCAGTGTGAGATTGATAAGTAAACTAGAGTCCCCAGTGTGAGAATGATAAATGAGCTAGAGTGTCCAGTGTGAGAATAATAAGTAACCTAGAATGCCCAATGTGAGAATAATAAGTAAATTAGAGTGCCCAGTATGAGAAACATAAGTTACCTAGAATGCCCAGTGTGAGAATGATAAGTAACCTAGAGTGTCCAGTGTGAGAATGATAAGTAACCTAAAGTGACCAGTGTGAGAATAATAAGTAAATTAGAGTGCCCAGTGTGAGAATGATAAGTAAACTAGGGTGACTAGTGTAAGAATGATAAGTATTAAAGCTAGAATGCTCAGTGTGAGAAACATAAGTAACCTTGAGTCCCCAGTGTGAGAATGACAAGTAAATTAGAGTGCCAGTGTGCGAATGATAAGTAAATTAGAGCACCTAGTGTGAGAATGATAAGTAAATTTGAGAGCTCATTATGAGAATGGTAATTAACCTTTCGTGCTCACCGTGAGAATTATAACTCAACTTAGTATAGAGTATGTGTAATTTTTGTTATAGAGTTGAATTGTGACCATAATCATTCAGAAATATCAAGATGAATGCATGCAAATGATGAATTGTTACTTTTACAGCCATTTGATATTCTTGATAAAGATAAAAAAGGTTACCTCACCAAAGAAGATATATTGAAACTTGATATTGATGTATTACGTGAATTTATCCAAGCAATGGAAGGAGTTGAACCATCTAATACTGATCATTTTGAATACTCTCACATTGAACTTCACATTGTTGAGTGAGTACTATTTTATGCTCTGTTGTCGACTTTGTCAATTGGAGCTTATCATATGAGTGATTGTCCGTGTCTACTTTTTATTTTTTCAACTTCTTCTTTAAAACTACAAGTCTAATTGTGCTTTGATACTTATGTGTATGTGTACCCTGGGTTGACCCTACTTAGATTAGTTCATTTCATGATGATATCTTCATTTCTTTAATTGAAATGTTCATTGATAACAGTGGAGTTATCTCAGCCAAGAGGCTGCTTGTTTTTTATCATAAAATTGCAAACATCCCAAACTGTAAATATGAAACCTGTCAACATGTCTACATCATTATTCCATTTCTCAACCGTGCCTGTGCCACTTGAATTCAAACTGAGTATGAACATCTCACATTGTGGGTAACTGAAGCATATCATGTCACTTGGGCACTTCTAAATGAAGACATCTTGAAATCAGGGTGTCTTTACAACAACGTGACATTTTTACTGTGTCTATCTGTAGGGATGTAATAGAGCGTGCACTGCATGTGTCTAATGGAAAGGTATCATGGG